TCAGAGACTGCTCCCTAATAAGATACCTCTTAGAGTGATAGGTCTACACCTAGGTCCTGAGCAATGACAACATCTGCATTATCTCCAGATACTCAAGTTTGGGGGACAGACTGACATGCCAGCAAGTACAGAAGCAACAAGGAACACACCACTCTGAGAGGGGACAGGGAAGGTGTTCCCCACAAAGTAGGAACCACTTCCACATGGGGGAAATCAAATAAGGAATAAGTGAGTACGCCAAGCCATACATTGTAAGCCAGCCACCAGCATTCTCCAGAACTGACCAGCCCCACAGACATAACCACAGGACTTACAGACACACATACTGAGCCTGTTCCCACTGACTCTTGGTCACAACTTTATTGAGATCTCACACCATCAGTGTGACCCTAGCCCAGCTCTCCTTGGAAATTACAGAACCTAAAACACATCCTATAAGACATGTTAACAGATCTTTGCTCCTCTTGGCACTTACATATAGAATTGTTACTATGTTGATTTCATTCACTCAATTTTTTCTTTCATGTTTCCTACATGTATCCTAACTCCCCCATTAGTCTGGGTGATTTTTGAGGGCAGGGACACTTCTTCCTCTGCATTGCACAAAAATCAACAGAGAATGAACACATTCAATAAATAATGCTAAGTGGTTTCCCTTATGGTTAAAAAGTGTCCATAACTAATTCCTTCCTCTTGAGTTCTTCTTGAATCTGAAAGCGCTACCAGGGCCTCTCCTCTGCTGATATGAAAGATCTATGTACTTCCTCAAATATGCTTTGCTCTAACCAGGTTCCTTATCTTTCTAAAATCTCGAATTCATTTCCCTGCTCCTTGGCCAATGGATACTGTATATTCACATAAAAGAGTATTCCTCAAAACTTCGAAGTCTAGCTCTTGTTAGGACACTAACAAACATGTACTGAGCAATATATTTTATGAAATAGAAGGCCTAGGTCTTAACCTCAAGCAGTTTGTAAGTGCTCAGGATTCATGATTCATTACCATGGACTAGTACCCAGAGCCCTAACTAAGTCACTAGCCCCCAACCTGTTTTAAGATATTTCAACTTTATTTAAAAGGCCCAAGTACCAGGCCTCTTAGCTGTAATTCCACTGACCTGACTCTCCTTCCTGGCATTGCTCATTTGCAAGCCCTGCGACATACATACCACCCAGGCTGGGTTGGCATACCCGCTTATTGCTGTGGCTCACCAGAAAAGGGAAAGGGCCTGCCTGGGGGAGAGAGATCAGAGTCCAGAGGAGTCCTGAGGCAGCACACAGTCTTACCGCATCAAACTCCGCTTGATCATCCTCAGGCAGGTCGCTGGTTTCATAAACATCTGGCTCGTTCCTGGCCTGCAGGTAGAAGCAGTGACCACCCAACCTCACTACCCAGCATCCACCAACACCCCTGACCCCACTCCATTTGAACAAGTTAACAGAGAAAGCAGGCTGTGACGCCACGATTCTGCCCCTTCTTTCACGTGCCCCGTGACCTGCCTGTCAGTTCCCATGTCTCAGAGGGGTGGGGATAACAGTGGGGACATCTGATGGTTAATGGTGAATGTTAAGTGATGACAAAGATGCTACCCTGAATCTGAAGGGGGGCGGGTCCTCGGCACTCATGTCAGGAGGAGAGGAGCTATCATTAGGCCCTGTACACACTACACTGGCACAAGGGCTGAGAGTGACTCAGGACCTTAGTACCCAAGGTCCTATCCCAACCCCCACGCCGAGAATGCAGGCAGGGCAGCACAAAGGGAGGGTACATGCCGGCCTGTGCGGGGGGGTTTGGGAAGGAGGTTCCCCAGAGGACATAGTTCTCCATCTGGCACAAGAGGGGTTCTGTCACGGTAACCTCTTCACTCTTGCCAGGGTGAAGGCCATCACCAAATGGTCTGGTATGTGTGTCTCGGGAGGGGGTTGGGGGGCTCATGGGAAGATTTGGGGAGACACGGGTGGTGTTGACACGGATGGCAGAAGCACTCGAGCACAGTGCTAAGTGCCTGGAGATGATTTCTGAGCCGAGAAACCGGCGACTGCCGGAAAGGGGCCTTGTAGGCCGTCCCACGGCCCAGCCCAGTCGGATCGAAGGAGTCCGGAGGGTGCATCGGCCGGTCGGGGAGCTAGCGGCGGGAGCCCTCGGGGCGGAGGAGGGGTTTCAGGCGGGAAGGGTCACGGGTTGCTGTCTGTTGGGGGTCCTTAGGAGGTCGGGAGCGCGGTCTTGGGGAGCCAGGGCCGGCCGTGTACTCACAATGCCGGGAAGGTCGGCGTATTTAGGGTCCGCCATGGCGGCGGCGAGGCGGGGTTGGGGGACCGGAGCCTCGGTAGAGCCGGGGCCGGTGTTCGGGTAGGGGAGAGGCTGGGTCCGGGTCCAGGATAAGGCGGCCGCAAAGGGAGCGGCGCAGGAGGCGGAGGAGGAGGAAGTCTCGCGACAGGAGTAGTACAGGGGAAGGGTGAAGCAAAAGTCGCGAGAACAACCCACTACCACACCCCTGGGGTGACAGGGATTGGCGAGAACAAGACCTGGGAATGACGTAATGGCGGGGAAGCCTCGCCTAGGATTGTGGGATATGTAGTCTTGGACGATCCGGCTTGGGCGGGTGACGGACAATAACGCGCCTTGGGAGTTACCTCGTACGACTTATTTTCTTTCGTTTTTCCGTCGAGTCAGTGAAAGCTTTTATAATTCCTGTTTCTCAGATGAATAAATTTGGACTCACAGAAATTAAATGACTAGGTAAAAATAACACAACTAGGCATGCTATGGCACAGCCAGGGCTTCGAAACAACAATAACAACAAGTAAAATTTAGTAAAGATTTAGTCATGTTAGGAATGAGAAAGTTAAGTAAACTTCTCAGGTTAGGGCCGTCAGGTAAAATACAGAGCACCTAGTTAAATGTGAATTTCGGATAAACAACGAATAGTCTTTTCAGTATAAGTACGTCCCATACGGTATGGGACATACTAACACACACAAATTATTAGTGTTTCATCTGAAATTCAAAGTTAACTGGGCTTCCTGTTTTTGTTCTTCAAATCTGGCAATTCTACCTCAAATAGAATAGGCACTTGGTAGCACCATGTCTGTCTGTATACCTTCTGTGCTCTTAATCCCTTCACTAATGGTTTTCAGACTTTTGAATTTCACAGTTCAGTACAATTAAAACAACAAAAAACCTTTTTGAAGATAGGCATAGTATTGCTACCTTTTTATTTTGCCAAGTAAGTACATTAAAAAAAAAAAAACCTACTCTCTACTATTACCATCATTACTTAGTAGAAAAGTATGGAAGGACATACAGTACTCTCAGAATAAAAGTCCTTTGAAACAACAAATCCAGCTTTATTAAAAAAACTTTCCACATTGTGTGGTGGGTTTTGGGTGGAGGGATGCATACACATGAACTTTTTTCTCTGACCAGTGACCCTCTATGGACTAGCATTTTGAAACTCCTTCACTAAGGATGCCATCCTGGAATGCTTGGGCGCCTGAGGTTGGGCTATTTCCTGAGCTTGCAGGATGCTGCAACAATTAGAAATAGTGCCAGACCAAGTGACTGAAGAGATGCCTATATTTCTGAGTTTATAGGAACTCATTGTCATTCTATGTGTCCTCTCCTGGCTCCTCCCCAAGCCTCTTTCTCCATAGTCCTACTGCCTACCCATCCAGCTTCTTATGCTGAACCCTTTTCCTTCAGTTTCCTTAAGATTCAAGGTGAGTTAGGGGTATATGTCCAACTTGGAGACCCCTTCAGCTGCCTTCCGAGTGGTTAGGTCTTGTCTGGCCAGGCCATCTTTCTCTCCTCCTTGCCTCATAGTATAATATCTAAGTGACCCTAGACACTTACCAGGCAATTGCTAGGCAGAACCTCCATCCCCTCCTCCCTTCTTCTCCCATCACCCTGCTCCTCCCCTTGGCCTAGAGCCTCAACTCCTGCAGTCTAACTCTGTTGGCCAGCAGAGGCCCTGTGACGTGGAGAAAAATCAATCTGGCCAGTTTCTAGGTGATTCTGTCCAGGGGCTGCAGCAGGAGTCTGACCTGAGGGGAGGAAGGACACAGAATCTCTAGCCTTGGCCTTTTTTTTCCCTGGGAAGGGAGAGAAACAGAAGAAGGGCCTGAGAAAGGGGCTGGTGTGTTGGGACTCTGTCCAACAGTACTGAGACAGGAAACACTCACGTAGGTGCCTAAACCTGCCTGAAGCCCAAATGCAGATGTCTGCTCTAGAGGTCCTTTCTCAAATCCCCTCTGGCCTTACCCACCGCCATCATCACCCCTCCATCACTGCTTTCTGACTCCCTTTCTCTTGCAAAATTACTCTTGCCCACCTCCATCCCAGCCCCAACCTATGAGGCAAAAATAAGAATTTTACCTGCTTTTGAATTCTGATAGGCCAGAATAGAAGTTTTTCTTCCTTCCAACTGGGGACCTATTGTGTGTGTTGGGGAGAGAGTAGAGTGCGCCTTTGGATGTAGAAGGGGAAGGGAAGACCCAGACATCCCTTGACCCTCCTCTCTGAAAAAATGGGACCTGGACACCCACCTCCATAGGGGTACAGGCAGCTGCTCTTGAAGGCTGAGTGGTGGGCTGGGAATCTTCGCGAGGGTTGTGGGAAAGGGGAGGAGAGGTGTGCTCCCAATTTGGAGAGAGGATTGTGATGGGGGTGAAGGATGCCTTGGAATAAAGGAGGTATAAGCACTATTGACTCTCTTCCCCGGACAGTAGACAGGCCCACCTCGGATCCCTTAGCCCTTCCAGGGGGGTGGAGTCCAAGCGAGGGACAGATGGGTCTGGGATGCAGGGGGTGGGACGCAGTGAGTGACTGGGGTGGGGAAGGGGTGAGGACCAAATAATTTCCGAGGGTTAGGGGTGGGGAGAGGAGGCGAGAAAAGAGCAGAGGCGCCGCGGTTCGGCGGTGGGCGCCGCGGAGTGGCAGCCCCCAGCGAAGGAAGCCCCGCCCCGCTGCTCCATCGCCGCCCCGCCCAGGCCCGCAGCGCCGCGCTGCAGCGCAAGGGGCGGAGAAGCAGAGCGCCGAGAGAGGACCAGACGCCCAGGTCTCCCGCATCCCGGTGCCGCAGGAGCGAGGAAGCGCGCCTCGGCCCTGTTCCCCAGCCTTCATCCAGGCGCCCGCCGCGCCTTTCTGAGCCCCAGAGACCGAGCACCTGTCCCCCGCCTGGGCCTCAGCTGAGCCCCTCTCCTCCGGAGCACATACGACCCCTGCAGCAGCAGAAGTGCCCCAGCCCCACACCGGCGACCACCATGGCCGAGACCAACAACGAATGTAGCATCAAGGTGCTCTGCCGATTTCGGCCCCTAAACCAGGCCGAGATTCTGCGGGGGGACAAGTTCATCCCCATTTTCCAAGGGGACGACAGCGTCGTTATTGGGGTGAGTGCCGCCCCTGGAGGGAATTTCGGAGAGGGGGCGGGAGGCTGAATCTTTTCCCCTGCCGAGCCTCAGCCCCTGCCTGTCTCTGCGCCCTCTCTCCACCGCTCATCCTCCATCCTTTTCGCCGCAGCCCCTCCTCTCCCTGCATCAGGATGGCTGGGTGTGGCCTGGCCAGGCCGGCGGCCGAGTCTCTGCAGAGCGAGAGGGGGCTACTTTCCCGCGATCAGGGGACCGGATTCCCCTTTGCTGCGCTCTGCAGCGTCCCCACCCCTAGAGCCAGGCCCATGTTTTTCTGATGTTTTCCTTCTTCCCTAGGGAAAGCGCATCTTCCCTTTGTTATTGGCTCAGATCTCTACCCCCACCTCCCAGGAAGGGGGAGACTAGTGGATGGGCTAAATGAGAGGTGGGCAGTCCAGGGTCTCTGCGGACTCTAGGATCAAGGCCTCCATCATTCCCCGAAGTAGTTACAGCCTGGACTTGGGGGGAGGGCACAGGTCTGATGAAGGGTTTTCAGAGAAAGAAATATGTTGGTGCCACACCCAGTTTGGTGGGGGAGCCTCTGGGTCCTAAGGAAATGTCTGCCTTTCCCTCCCAGATACAGTCGGAGGAGGATTTCAGACCCCCCAACTCACCCTAACAAATAAAAATAACCAAACCCTGAGATCCTAACAAGTAGTTGCGTATTCATCCTTTCTCTTGATGATCCAATAAAAAGTAGCAAGCCATCTCCTCTACCTCATCATGACAGCCCCTACCCATGGAAGAGACCTTGTTAAGAAGGAGAACGAGTATTTACTGTGTGCTTGTTACCCTACATATATTATTTAATCTTCAAAACAACACTCTGAAGAAGGTATTAATATTTCCACTTTACAGATGAGGACATCGAGGCCCAAAGAAGTTGAATGACTTTCTCAAGGTCACACTGTTAATTCACGGATCTGAACCTAAATCTGTGACTCCAAAGCTCACGTCTTTCCTTCTGTATCACATTGCCTCCACGGTTTTCTGTTCTGGACTTTTATCTGTGATGGCTCCAAGGGAATTCCTAGGGAATTCCTCACCTACCCCTCCTTTCCTAGATTGGTTGGGACTGTCAGGCTATGGGGTGAAAAGATCTGGGGTTCAGTCCAATAGGGAGTCGGGCTTAAGGGGTGCTGGGCCAGGAAACTGTAGCCAGTTTGAGAAGGGAGAGGCCCATATAAGGACCATCCTCAAGGTCAGGGGCACTTCTTATGTGTCTTTGATCCACAGTGCTTGGCACAGGGCATGCTTGTTAAAAAAATGAAGGGAAAAAAAGGGAGGGAGCCTGGGCGTTCTGAATCAGTGAGATTGGGACTTTGAGTAAACATGCCTTAGGAAGAGACTTGCTTACATGTCCTGTCCCTAAGGGCCCTAGTCCGTCACCAGGCTCTCTCACCCACACTATGGACTCAAATGGGTGCTTTCGCCCTGTGTGTGCGCTTATGTATGTGTGTGTTTGCCACATAGAGAGGGCCCCTGCTTCTCTTTGTCTCAGGGACGTTAGACCTTGCAGTCTGGTCAGTCTGGCCAGGCTAAAATAATGCCCGGATCAACCCTCGGGGCCTCTTCTCTGAATAGTCTGGACAGTGGGCGTTAGCTGTGAGAGTTAGAGCTTGAGGACCCCCTGAGACATAAAGGCTGAGAAATAGGAGAAAGGTAGTTATGGAGGAACAAATCCACAAAAGGCTTCCACTTTTAAGGCTAGCTTCCTTGCTCTGGGTTTTTTAGGTGAATCTGAATCAACTCCTTTAGGCTCTCTGGGCCATCCATCCTGGCACGGTGGGCGCAGGGCATGGGGTGATGTTGGGAGGAGTTGTGTTGATCTGTCCGATTTGCCCAGCTAAACAGGAGAGACATGGTGGAAGTTGGGAGGGAGGAGAGATGAAGAGAGGCCCAGGGCCCCCTGCCAATTCAGATTCTATCTTACTCCACAGCTGTTCCTTCCTTATCTGTTTTGCCTGATGTTTGCAGGGCTGTACCTTTGTCTCGCTCTGTATCTTCCCTTGCCATAGCCCTTCCTGTCAATATCTCCTGCCAAGATAAGTGCTTATGGGGGGGCCATTTTGTCTCAGGCAGCATCCTTGGAGCTTGCCTTCCCAGCCTTTCTATTCATTCCTCATTCCGGAGGATGAGGGCTATAGGAGAAGTGATTTTGAGGAGTGCCTTGAGGGTCCCAACAAGGGAAAGAAATCTCCCATTCCCTTTCTTCTCTCTTCCTCTAGCTCCCTTTGGGGACCAGTTTGTGGGAAACTGAGGAATTCATGGAGCAAGCAGCTTCAGGATGTCTGGGAAGGTGAGGGAAGGATGAAGGTGGGAGAGGCTAATCTCTCCAAGCCCAACCCCTGCTCCTTTCTCTGATGGCTCTCCTCTCTGCACTGCGGCTAGCTCTGGGCTACAGAGTCCCTAATATTCGTGGGCTTTTTCTGCTTGGCAAAGTGTAGGAGAATAAGCTGGGAAGACAGCTCTGTGAGCCTTATCCACACCCCCCCCCCATGACTTCTCCCAGGAATCTGGGGGATGGAGCTTTGCCCAAGTTAATGGCCTGAGTCATAGTAGAAGGGTGTCTGGGTCACTGTCTTTGTGTGCTATGTACCTTGTTTTGCTCTTTGGGTCACTCAGAATCCACTGTGACTTTTTAAGTGGACCCATTTAAGTGTCTCTCTGCCTTGGTCTTGGTGGGCAGAGTGCCTGCTGTCTGAGCTGTTGCATCTATACCAGACACTGGAGGGATGACAGCAGGGAAACACATAGCCTCTCTGCCCCCTCCCCCCAACTTCCTCTGTCCCTCTCCTTCCCTCCCTCCCTCCCTCCCTCCCTCATTCAAGTGTCTACCACATTTTACCTCCCTTAGGTCTCCTGATGGTTAAGTGGGTTTTTAAGGAGGCAGAAAAGCAGGGTCACCAAGTACCTCATTTGGAAAAGCCAGGTTGGGACCGGCAGGATTATTGGAACAGGGTCAGTATTGTTTGAGGTGGCTCAGGATTCCTTTGATGTCTGAAGAGAGGGAGTAGTCTCCCCTTAGCCTTGGGCGAGTCTATAAAGGAAAATGGAGAGGGGAGGTAATGTTCACTGTGGCCAGTGTCTCTCCAGCATTACCATGGCAACAATCCCCAGGGGTGTCACTATGGAAATCAGTCCTGGTGCTCTGAAGTTCAGCCTCTACCAAGTGCTTTAGCAAAGGTTGAAAATGTTGGTCGCCTTTGGACCCCTGATCTTAGGCCCTCCCATTAGCTTTAGTCAGCACACACAGTGGAAAACTCCAGAAAGTGCTGGGAAACACAGTTGAACAGGAGGCAAGGTAGCTCGGAGTGGGTCAGAGGAGAACAGAGTCCTGGGTTGGGGGACTCTGAAGAGAAGCCCTCTGGAATAGGCACTGAGGAGCGCTTAGACTGCTGTGGGTGGAGACATAGTGGAGCTCAGAGGCATTCCTTGAAGGTGGAGGGTCTCCCTGAGTGTTTCTAACCTAACAGTCTTCTAGTCCCTGACGCTGTACTGAGTCACAGAGTCTTGGATTATTACCTGGAGGTAGAGATGGTGAGGAAGGCTCCTTGGAGAGGATGGGTGGGAGAACTGCATTCTTCTGAAAAAGGGGTTGAGGTTGCCAAAAAGGAGTGATGAAGGGCTTTAGCTCTGTCCAGAAACATTTGGAGAAATACCCACATGGAGGGGGGTGGGTGGGGTAGGGGAAGGAAAAGCCACGACAAGGATCTGACGCAGTGTTGGCATGTCAGTTCTGGGATCACTTTGGCAGTGTGGGTCTGGAATCAGATTGCTTGGGTTTGAAACCTTGCTCTACCATTTCTCAACTGTTTGACTTTGGGAAAGCTACCTTACCTCTCTGAACCTCAGTTTTTGCATCTATAAAATGTAATAATAATAGTACCTACTTCCTAGATTGCTGTGAGCATTAAATGAGATAATGCACATAAACTGCTTAGCACAGTGACAGGCACATAATAAACTCCCAATAAGAGTTAGGTGTGGGCTTCCCTGGTGGCGCAGTGGTTGAGCGTCTGCCTGCCGATGCAGGGGACACGGGTTCGTGCCCCGGTCCGGGAAGATCCCACATGCCGC